CCCCAAAACCCCAAAACCCCAAAACCCCAAAACCCCTTTTATATCCTGAATTATTGAAATTAGTGGACTCTAAATAATTTATTTGAACTCTTAAGGCCATGAAGTAATTATTTCTCGTCTGAGCTATTTTGTGGTCTTTTTGTTGACTTGGTCCATCAAATTGAAGGAAGAAGTAACATTTTCAATGGGATTTTGAGGTTGAGTCTGGATAAACATCGTGTTCTCCTTACGGCCCATCTTCTTATAAGCATCAATATATCTCTCTCCTAATAAATAGTTGATGATAAAGGTCTTCCTGTCTTTTCCCTCAAATTTTAGTGCTTCTGAGATAGATTTCAAGGCTTCTCCAGATGCTTCTGCTTTCTTAATAATAGCTTCAGCTTCACCTTCTGCTTTAAGAATCTTGGAATTCCTGTTGGCTTCAGCAAGATTGATCCTGGATTGTCTCTGTCCTTCAGATTCAATCATGTTTGCTCTCTTCTTTCTCTCAGCTTCTGCTTGAAGGATCATTGATTTTTGAACATTGCTTGGTGGTTCAATATCTTTGATCTCATATCTGATGCATTTGGCTCCCCAGTCCTTGGTCTCTTTGTCAATAGCACTCACTATTCTTTCGTTAAGCTTGTCTCTCTCTTCAAAGGTTTTGTCAAGAGCTAGTTTACCTATCTCAGATCTCATAGTGGTCTGGGCAAGGTTGGTGATAGCACTAGTCAGGTTTTCAACTCCGTAAGAGGCTTTGTAAGGATCTTCAACCTTGAGGTAGAGCACTCCATCAATGTGTAAAGCAACGTTGTCACGAGTGACTGCTACTTGAGATGATATCTCAAAAACTTGTTCTCTGAGATCATGCACATACTCTATGGTATCGATAAAAGGAAGCTTGAAGTTCAACCCTGGCTTTACTTGTCTATTGAACTTTTGGAATCTGTGAATAAGGCAGGCGTATTGCTCCCTGACGAAGAAAATTGTACCAAAGAAGCACATTGTTCCTTCTTTTGCAGTAAAGAAATTTCTTTGTGATTTGTAAGTTAAGGAGTTATTATAGCTAGAAGCCTGTAGAGATGAATTCAATGGTCCAGCAAATCTTGATAGCCCTGGGTTTGTGATAATATTTGTTCCCCTTCTGAGGCAAGTTCTTGTGAACATTTTAGATATTAATTATTATTTTCAAAATGTATTCCTTATTAAGGGGTTTTGGGGTTTTGGGGTTTTGGGGTTTTGGGGTTTTGGGGTTTTGGGG